AGGCAGTTACTGTGAATGAAACATTTATATAGATGAAACACTTATTTTGTGTAGTGAAAAGGATATTTTGTGATTGTGTGTATTGTACTAACACAATTGAAAATATGCTGAAATGTTTGAAAAAAGTGCACTTTGATGATCTGTTGTGATATTAGTACTAAGATTTTTGAAAATGTACCAATTGCTTGTGAAAATTGCTCCAAAGCAATTTAAAAAATGTAACTTCTTGTTTATTGAACTGTTGTATAAAATCAATATCACATTTGTGATTTTTGCGGGGAAAAAAATGGCACTCTTCGTGGGATATTGATTAACTATATGAAATGATATAAATATATAAATTTTCTGCCCCCATATCTTGAATTTTGGGAGCATTTTAAATGCATTTTATTATACTGAATCATGCAGTGAAAGAACACACTCTAAAAGTAGTCAGTCTAGCTAGTGTTTAAGCACTCATAAAATCAATGAAGCTGTCCATACACTGTATGATAAATTAATCTCTTTCTTACATCGTTCGTACATCTGTACTTTGTTGCATATGATGAGGGAATTTGCGAGTTTCAGTCTGAACAAAACTCTGGGGTCTCAGCGATGACTGATCTAAACGCCTCTGATTGGCTACTGCATTTTTAAGCTCAACAGAATTGTGTGTGATTGATTATAATGAGCAACGCTGTAAAAACGCGTAAAAATAAAATATGATGTAACATGAGCAGGTCTAAATTTAATACAGCAATCAAAACTCATTTTAAATATTATAGTTTTATTGAAAAACCAGGGGACCCCCCAAGTATATTTTTTTGGGTGTTTTGGGTGTTTTTTGGGTGTTACCCCACCCCCTCAATTCGAACACTGCACTCGCGTTTACACACATACAAACTTACAAACTCTCTGAGGAATGCACATCAAATTGAAATGCACATACATGCACACACACACGGTAGAGATGCTATGATAAGGACTACTTCACACAAAAAGCAGCCCATAGTGCACTCATGTCACAGAGGAGATCCAAACAAAAACACCAGAGATGAATGACACGCATGCTCAAAGTTGAAAGGCCAGTTTGGAAGGGAGCCAACTGTCGCCCTCAATCATGCACAAGTCTGATTTTATCACAATTGAAAATAATTTAGTATGCGATGCCAGTGAATTAAAATTGACCGCTACAGGGTTGCTGTTAGAGAACTCATGAGTCATGCAGGTGATGCTGAACTTAGTGGTGTTAATTGAAGGATTAATAGCATACAAGTGCAATAAAATCAATAACTGAGTCACCTAGATATCTACATTATATCACAGCAGGTAAATAAACACCAGACTAAAAGTTACAGTACACAAATCCACTTTGAATACTTAAAACAGTTTTTTAACATTTTAAATTGTAATAATATTTCACAGTATTAAAGTTTTATTGTGTTTTTGATTAAATAAATGCAGCCTTGGTACGCATAAGAGACTTCTTTTAAAAACATGCAAAATCATACTGCCCCCAAACTAAAACTTTTTACACTTTTACTATTTGACTGTGTAAAATGCTCTTTACAAACACAATCCAGAGTGCAACTTTTCTAAATAACACTGAATATGCTACTCCTACTCACAAACAGAAACACATTGTGTGTACTATCCTGTAATTGTGCCATTTTTGAAGATTTTGGAAGTATATTTTTGCTGTTTAACTGAAACATATCCATTTTATTACCTCCTCCTTACACACACACACAAGCTGCCAGCATAATCTGTTAAGACTTTGTATAGACTGTTACATCAACATGACAATTACATTTTGTCAGGATTACTTGCTGTAGGTCAGGGGTCAAATTCATTTGCACATGGACTGAGCAAAATTTTGAATGTATTTTCTCGAAACAGATTCTTAAGATTTTTTTTGCCTGTGTTTGATTCTATAACACTGTTTCCTTTCCACGAGTCATAATGACTTTATTGAATTAGTATGAGATTGATTCTTTGTCTTCATTCATGGAGCTTGTGCAGTTAGCTGACTGCAGTGAAGTGAATGCCACACCAATCTCAGCCCTGCATCCTTCCACCCTGCCAAGAGCTGCATCAAAACACACACACACACACACAGATGACATCAACAAATCTGGTTAGTATGATGTGCTCCTTGCTTACTTCAGCATTGTGCCTATTTTTATATACAGTACATAATGCAAGTGTATGTTTTATACCTGTCAGCTGCCTTTCTTTCCTAAGCTATAAAGAGAGATGCTACTTTAATAAATATTTACAAATCTTTATAAAATAAGAACAAATGCAAACTCTCTCACACACACACACACATTAAGTATTCTCCTATAAAAATGATTTGCAGACAGTGTATGCAGTGAGTGCACAAAGAGGTTGATAATCAATAGTGCAGTGTGAATGTTTAACTTTGGGCTCTCTCAATCAATACAGAGCTCTGAACAAGAACTAAATATACCATTCTGCCCAGAGTCAGAGAAAGAGTCAGGCATGAGAAAGGAAAGTGAGCAATATGGCAAATGTAATCTGAAACAAATATAATCAATATAAGCCATCGGAAAAATAATCAACTGTATGTCCAAAAGTAGGAATTATATGGTATTTTGTCTTTTGAACTTTTGAAAGGTAGTGTGTGTATTGCAGTATATAAAAAATCTCTAATATTGACCCATAACCAATATGATACCAAACATACTGTGCATCCCTAGACAAAAGTATGTGTGCTCTCAAACACCCATACGTGCTTGTTGAACCTTTTTCATTTTAAAACTAATAAAAGGCCTAGTCATACAGTACTCCTTTCAGTGTATGTCATGCAACAAAATACAAAGATGAACTAAAATTTGTGCACACAGTGAGTTCTTCACAATAGTCCATGCCAGAACTGTCAGTTGACACAGAAATGACTCCCAACAGAGTCAAAGCCCCTTCTTTTCATATCTCATTAGTATGTAATACATATGGAAGGAAGGATAGACAGAAAGACAGACAAAAACAGCAGAGAAAAACGTATCTGGAGGAGAGAGAGAGACAGGGAGAATCATGCTTTTCACAGTTAAGTAACACAGTCCATAGTTATCTACGGTAATGACAAATCCGTAATTAGCACAAAGCTAATTCACTGTGATGCAAAAATGGCACACTATCTCTCTTTTCCTCCCTCCTTTTATCGTTTCATCTGTCTGCCACATGATTTCTGGGCATTTCTTCTCTCTACTTCCTGCTTGTTTGACTTTCTGCACACAGACTTTGTTTCCTCAATATTGCAAGGAAGCCTCTTGTGATAAACCAAACAAATAGCATGATCATTGAGTTCAAACCAAAAAATTAAATGTTGATTTTTTTGAAGGCGATGTTTCCAAATCATAAAACACTCCAGACATTTTTTTATGCTGTACAAGTGCTGGCATCGAGTTAAAGGAACATGATTCATTTATTCATGCGTCTGAGAAAATAAATTACACACACCACAAATCAGATCACACATTTTCACTTCTAAATTCTCTTCTAAATTATGAGCTCTCTCTCTCTCTTGTGAATTTATATTCATTGTATCTGTATTGGAGTTAATACTTTTAATAAGGCCAACATGGAATATGCTCACTTTGCATTTTCTATGTTTTGGGGAAAATCTGCAGAATTTTGTGAAATAGATTTAAATGTGGAAAAATGTAGTAATGCTGAGTCGTATTAGTTGCTTAAAGCATTTTAACTTCAAATGTGCTTCAGTACTGCTCTTCACAAAGTAGCTGGAACTTATTTTATTGTTAACAGACATGATGTAAAGTAAACATGAGGACGAATGACCGAAGCTGGGAAATTTCCCGGCAAATCGAATCAGACATCTCTCAAAATAAAACATTATTGTAGGCTTACTGGTAAGGCAAGAACACTGATTTGACTCAATAATTCATTTGCTGTGGAGTTTTGCAGACAGATTCCGTGTGGGACTGTTCAATAATGCTGCCAAAGAAATTACAGAAAAAAATGCTAAGCTAATGCTAATATGGGTTTCTGTTAGTGGTCAATACTCATGTTTATCCATTATTTATCCAACTATGTTGGAACTGAGTGTTGGTGCTCTTGTATCATTTTTTTATGTTTAATTTTTCATGTTTTGTAGGAAAGATTGTTATGTTTATTGTTATGTGATCTGTTTTATTTTTTTTTCATCCATTTATTTATTTATTTTTAATGTAATTGTTTTTGTTGTTATTTTATTATTATTATTACTATTATTATTTTCTCTCTCTCTCTCTCTCTCTCTCTCTCTCTCTCTCTCTCTCTCTCTCTCTATTTTTCTGTCAGTCATTCTCAATATTAATATATTAGTAACATTGTGCAGCGATTGCTCTGGGAGTCAGTCAAATGGTCTTACACCCCTCTATGGCAGGTCTTTAAAGTGAGGAAACATGACAGCATTATACCTTACCTCAGACAGCAGCTTTCCCAAAGCCCAAAAGTCCTTCCAAAGTCTTGAATTTACACTGTGGAGCAAACAGCATTGGGGGAAAAAAAGGATACAGCCGTACTCCTCCAGAACGAGTGCCAATGGCAAGGATCTTCTGCACCGGGTCAAATGCCAGAGCTGTGGGCTGATAGGGAAATCCATGACGCACCGTCTACAGAGAAAGGAAAACAGAGAAAGCATGAAAAAAAAAAAAAACATGCTGTGCTACATTAAGAACAAAGTACTGTAGGCAACTTTAGTCATTCATTCCCACATAATAGTGACACAGCCTACGGCCTGCCTGCATCCCTTGCTACTCTCCTGAGAACTGCTCACATGAAACAATACTTCAGCATGTGCTGCTCAATGTGCAGCCACCCGCTCCTTCCCATCTCCTACAAGATATATTCTGCAATATTTTATTGGTTTGGCATACTATTCAAAAGTTTGAGGTTGGTAGGATGTTTTAATGTTTTTGAAAGAAGCCTCTCATGCTCACCAAGGCTGCATTAAAAAATTTTTGTAAAATACATTATTTTAAAGTAACTGTTGTCTATTTTAATATACTTTAAAATGTAATTAATTCCTGTGATGACAAAGCTGAATTTTAGAGTTAATCAAAAGTTAACTCTTTCCAATCAGCTTCCTATGCTGTACCTTTCATACTACCTGCTTTCTGTCTGCAAAAAAAGTCTCTTCTCCTATTAAAGTTTGACATTATGTTCATAACACCATAAAGTACAGGTCAAATTACTCAAGTCAGTAAAATAACAAAACAGATTATGCCCTGCTACTTAGTTTACTTAAAGCAAAATCACTTGGGATTTCAACCCGGGTACCTTTCAATCACATAATCATATATCATCAAAGATGATGATGACACCAGATCACTTGATTGAGCCACTAAATCATATGGCACTTCATGCTGCCGCCATGCTGACAACACTTTCCATCTCATTTCCTTTTCCATGTCTCCATGTCTACAATTTCAACAAAGATCTCAGCATGCCCTTCTGGCACCTCGCTGACCACTCAAGCTCAACTTCATCAAAACCGAGCTCCCCTAGCCCCCAGCCAACACTCCCCCACTCAGTCTATCTTCATCTCAGCTGAAGGTCACACAGCTGTCAACGCTTGCTGTGCAAAAACGATGGTGCCCCTCAAGACCAACTATCACATTCATGGACAAAACTGCAACAACCACCTAAACCAGCCAAAATCAAGCTTTTCCTGCACTTCTACACCAAGCAGTTGGTTTAGTTTCTGCTTATTTGATAACAAGATTATTCACTTCTTACTGGCCTTCCTGCATCTGATCTGCATATGATCTCTTAAACATATTAAAAACATTGCTTTTGATCTCAAATTCAATTCAATATAATTCCATTCATATTACCACAGAATCAATACACACAAATTAATGAATAACCTAAATAAAGTATTATTAATTAAGAAATAAATAAGAAATAAGTAATCAGTAATGCCAACATAAAATAAAATAAAATTTAGCAATATATTAAATGAATATAAGGTAGGTTAAATGCCTTACTCAGGGGCCTAATGTTGATTGCTTGCTGCATTTGGGTCTTGAACCAGCAACCTTCTGGCTAAGAGCCCTGAGCTTTATTCTGTAAATCACACTGCATTTAACCTCTAGAATTTCTCACACGTTACACGTTTACACAAATCAAAGTCAAGATGCTGTTATCTGCCATTAGCAGACAGCTAACTGTAAGTACGGCTCCTGTGGAGCATCACCGGGTTAAGTGCTTTGCTCAAGGACACAACGGTGACATGGGAATCGACCTGCTAATTCACCTGCAACCAGTGGTAATCTCGTTATCAATAAAATTTCTGACAAATTGCTTGTCACTGATGAGATTAATCAATAAAAAGGGCAACAATGTGCATCATGATGCCAATTTAAAAATTTAATAATTTGACAACAAATAACACTACAAGCTAACAATGATTTTGAAGAAAAATCTACAAAGAAAATAATTGTTTTAAATAATGCAGTCACAATCAATAATATCAGAGATTGACCTGTTTGAGCTGGTGAAAGGGAATGAACACCAGTAAACTAAAGTGCTATTTTAGTGGGCTAACTAACTCAATATGAGATTAATAAAATATATAGACATAAATAAAATATTACATTTAATTGCATCTGCACAAAATGCACAAGTGGACTAAGTAATGTGATAGTCAAACTGTGTAAGTCACTTTGTGTTTCCATAACAACGCAATGAACCAGAAACAATGAATAATTGCATAAATATTCATACATACTGTATATCATTACACTAATTACAGCAGTGTACTCAATGTTACTTCAGAAGATCAGGTTTTTACAACCGGACAGTTTTCACACATAAACACATTTCATTACACCAAATACACAAAATAATGTTCTTTTTAGCAGCATCATATGACCCCTTTAAAGAATTAGTTCACTCCAGATTTAAAAGTTCCTGATAATTTACTCACCCCTGTTTCATCCAAGATGCTCATGTCTTTCTTTCTTCAGTAGAAAAGATATTAAGGTTTTTGAGGAAAACATTCCAAGATTTTTCTCCATATAGCGGACTTCAAAGGGGACCAACGAGCTAATGGTCCAAACTGCAGTTTCAATGCAGATTCAAAGGGCTCTACACGATCCCATCCGAGGAATAAGGGTCTTATCTAGCAAAACGATCTGTCATTTTCTAAAAAAAAAATAAAAAATGTATATACCTTTTAACTACAAATGCTCATCTTGCACTAGCTCTGCGATGCGCGTGACACATATTTATGTCTTTGTATCAGTTTATTTTTTAAAATGGTCCATTCGTGTGTATCCAGGATGTTTAAATCTTTTAAAACCTAAAAAATGTATTCTGCTAGGAAAAAAACGTGACCTTTCCAACGTGATTACAGAATGCGTGCAGTTGTGGATGCGCATTGCAGAGCTAGTGCAAGACGAGCATTTGTGGTTAAAAAGAAATGACCGATGGTTTCGCTAGATAAGACCCTTAAACCTCGGCGGGGGTCGTGTAGAGCCCTTTGAAGCTGCATTGAAATTGCAATTTGGACCTGTAGCCCATTGGCTTCCATTGAAGTCCACTACTGTATATGGAGAAAAATCCTGAAATGTTTTCCTCATAAAGTAAAACAACAGTAACTCAAAACATTTGTTGGTACATGTCAGAACACATGAAACTTGCTAATTTACATTTCTGCTCCACACACCTGTCCACTTGTTGCAACTGGCTTCACGTCAATCTTTAAATAGCCAACAAAACAATTAAAGTGCTTCAAAAGTTCCCAAGCCTCTCACTAGCGAGTCACTTATGTGACATTTTACACAATGAACATTTACCTTGTTACACTTGCAGCAAGCTGCCTGCAATCACTGTAATCAATTGAGCTGGTCGGGGGCCAGCTTCAAATCATGCCGCTCTGAGTGTGTTTTATTTGGTGCACTGAACTGTAAAGAAGCTGTCCAGAATGTGTGCTCTGAAATGCAAGAGCAGGTGCTGTCCACAGCCATCGGAGCTGGAAGCATGCAACGAGAGCCGTCCACAGCCTGCGGGTCTGTGCTAGTGCTCTGGCGCTGGCAATGGCCGCCACAGATGGTGCTGAAATCCATAACACATGCTGCTCCAGAGTTGTGACGCAAATTGTGACTGTCCAAAAATATTTTAGAAACAATTCTGCAGATTAGTGTCGAATGCTTCCTGATTGGGACACTAACAGAGAGTGTAACAAATTCAAGTGGTCCATGAGTTCATTTGACTTTTTTTTTTGTTACATTTGACTGTAAAAATGCACTTTTGCACACTCACTTTCCCCATTTGTTTGGCTCCCTTATGAAGGTACGTTCATCAATAATTCATCTGCAGGGCTCTGGACTGATGCAAGCAAGTACTGGATGAATGAGCAGGATGGAGTGATCACAAAGCAAGCAAAAGACACAGAGAGAGAGCAAGAGAGATGGGATGGAGTGTGTGTGATGTTCTATCCGTGGCTATTAAGCAGGAATAGATCTGTGACGAAACCGTTGTCATGTTCAAATTCTCTCGATTTGCGACTACAGCTGCAGGTTTATTGTCTGCTTATGCAGACAATTGGAATCATTGGTCTGCGTCTGCGTCTGCGTCTGCATGGGCGTGGCTGCGTTCGAAGTTTCAGTGCTTATGTGTGTGTTGCCTTTTCGTCTCTATTAATCAAACGAGTGCTAATGAATGCCTCGGCGTATAGATTTTCATTCAGTGCACTGCTTTATTGCAGACTATTTAAGCATCCCCCTCCCATTCCCTCTTCATCTCTGGGTTTCTCTCCTCTTGCTCTGTCTCTCACTCTCTCATACTGATATGGGCTGTTGTCTCCGCCGTTTAGCTATTCAATTTCTCCACCCTGTTTCTACTACTCCATGCTGTTCTATCACTCTTAAAGGGACAGTTCACCCAAAATCGAAAATTCTGTCAAGGTGTACTCAAACCTATGTACATTTCTTTCTGTCATACAGACATTCTATTTGGAACAACACAAGGGTGAATAAACAATGACAGAATATTCATTTTTGGGTGAATCGTATCTTTAAGTTTGCATGAAGCAACCATTTCTTTCAAAAGTTTGGGGTCAGTTACTTATTTATTAAATCAAACCGTTCCACAAGGATGCATTAAATTGATCAAAAGTGACAGTACAGACATTTTTTTAAATTAGTTACAAAAATACGTATTTAATCAAATCAAACATACTGATACTTACACTATCTTTTAAAAGTTTACGGTCAGTACCTTTTTTTTAAGAAATTAAATCCTTTTGTTCAGCAAAAGGCCATTAAACTGATCAGAAAGAAAAGTGAATACTTTTACATTTCATTAAAAAAAAAAAAAAAAGAATCAAGGTTTCCACAAGAATATTAAGCAGCTGTTTTTACCATTGATAGTCAGCCAAATCAGCATATGATAATTTCTGAAGGATCATGTGACACTGTAAACTGGAGTAAGGACTGCTGAAAATTCAAATTACAAATAAATAAATTATATATTTTTTAAATATATTCAAATACAAATATTATTTAAAATTGTAATATTATTTCACAATTTTTTTTTTACTATTTTTGATTATAAATGCAGCTTTGCTGAGCATAAGAGACTTCTTTCAAAAACATACAAATCTACA